CCCAGGTCCTTTTCGGCCAGGCAGCTTTCCAGCCACTCCTTTATTTCCTTCCCTGTGCTTGGAACTTTTCCATAGCGCCCCCAGGTCCTTTCAAGCGCAAAGGTCACACACGTAGCACATTCTAGCACAGTGTGCAACGTATGCGGTGTAGTGGGGTACCGTGTGTGTCTGCCTCGCCACCACGGCGACCTAGTTCCTGTGAAAGTTACAGCGCTGCATCAGCAGCCTCCCTCTGTACCTCCCCCTCCTGACTCCTGTTGGCACCAGTATAGCCAGCTGGTCCAATGCAAATCCTTGCAGCCAGTGCCGTGCACCAAGTTCAGAGTGCCTTTTATAGTTCCAGCCAATACAGGGATCATTTTACTACTTTTCAAAGCTATCAAATTGTCCAAACTACCCCTGCTTAGTACCAGATGAAGGTTCAATGTTGTAGATCGATGACTTACGGGGTGGAACAGATGGACTCCGGCTCACTTTCTTCAGCAGCACTGGTATAGAACTGGAGCAGCTCATCTTTCATGGAGAGCTCATGCCGCAACTGAGAAACCTGCACAAAGAGAGAGCTTGCAGATCAGTAAGTTGCTTTTCTAAGCACATTCTTAGGTAAACCCCCTATAAATTAGTTATTCATCCTCCAAGCATCATCTTCAGACTACACCAAAAGGCTGAAACTGGAACAGACCAGAACCAATTCTTTTATTTCTTAGAAAGAAGGAAAAAGATACCTTTTAAATTAGCCATTAACTGTTCCTGTTTTAGAAGTTAAAAAATGCAATTACCCACCACTGTTAAAGAAGGTGAAAGAGAAACATGTCTAAGATGAGCAATCCTGAGTCACTACTGCATTAGTCTAGATTCACATCCACAGAAATGGATATATTGCAATGATACTGCAAGAAATCAATGTGGCAGAGTTAAGACAAACATCATTTTTCCATTTTATGTGATGACTGTCACCATTTGGCTTGGATACAGACCTTGCAGATCTCAGATACAGACATTTCTTCCTCTGCAAGAGACTTTAGACAAAATTACCAAAGTGCTTTTGTAGTAAGGTTACATTTGGAACTCAGTTGCCTGTTGAGCTGCAGAACACCACCACACAGCGGCAGGCTGCCATTCTGAGGTTGCTGCAATGGTAGAAGCTGCAGTCAGGTTCTGGGTGTAGTTTGGGCTTTTGATGATGCCAAAACATGAGTCTAGTAAAGTAGTATGTGGGAGTCCCATACTTAGTACATACACATATGAAAAAGGAACAAAACATCAAAATTGAGTGTTTAAGATACCCTGTAATTGTGAGCTCCACAAACTTAACCTTGGTTAATTCATATTGTGATTCTCCAAGGTTAAAAGCCCCCTTACACAGTAGCACTTACACCACTTCACAGCTGCAATTTAAGACCTCAGTGGCGAAAAACTAATTTTTATTTTCCTTGCATAGCTACAAATAGCATAACTGATCAGACAGATCTGTTCCCTTCCACTTGCACTGCAAGACTTGGCCCTCAGTTTTCACTTTCCAATGCACAAGTTGCAGAGCACATTTGTTTTTATTAGACTTCTGCTTTTTGTATTGTAGCCATATTTATGTTTCTAGTTATTACTGGCAAAAATCCCAGAGAATATCAATAAAACAGATTTAGGCTGCATTTTCATCAAACAAAAAGCAGACTCAGTGCAATAAAGCACTTAAATCGTGCAGAATTTTAAGCAAACATGGTAATTTACTTTACTAAGGCTATTCTGTGTAATCAGAAGTGCTAAGGCACCACGTCCTCCGGAGACATTGGATCTAAAATGCAAGGGGGGAAAAAAGCCCCAACCAACCACATTTCAGAAGATTATGAAATAAAATCCGTGCATTAATTTTAGGAGATTCACTTTCCCCATTTCGGGAAGAGCTAAAAAGCTGAGCCAAAAATAACAATTTACTTCCCTCCAGCACATTATGTCTCAGCCTCTTTAAGTAGCAAGGATTCAGATACTGTCAGTGCGTGGGCGCTAGATCATCTCCAGCTTTTGCTACACTTTTTTCTCTATGAATTAAAACCACTGAGGATACTATTTTTACTGTCATTTCCAAACATTCCAATTCTCCAAAGGAGGGTGAATAGCCAGAAAGGGTGACCTTTTATAGGAACAGGACCAGAAGCAATGGGCACAAACTGAAACACGGGAGTTTCCCCCTGAACATCAGGAACAACTCTTCTATTGTGAGGGGTAACTGAGCACTGGCACAGGCTGCCCAGAGAGGCTGTGGAGTCTTCACCTTTGGAGATACTCAAATACTGTCTGGATATGGTCCTGGACAACTGGCTGCAGGTGGCTCTGCTTAAGCAGTGGCGTTTGGACAAGATGACCCCCAAAGGTCACTTCCAACCTCAACCATGCTGTGAAATGTGAAAAAACCTCACTGCAGTAGCTTCCAGCAACACTTCCCTTTGACATAGCATTTTGTGGTATGTTGACCCCCCGCCAGTTACTAAGCACCCATGAGCTGAGCACACGCTCTGCCCCCACGACCCCACAGGATGGAGGAGAGAATCAGAAGCACAAAAGCCAGAACAACTCATGGGCTGAGATAAAGACAGTTTAATAAGTAAAGCAAAGTTGCTTGTGTCAGCAAAGCAAAATAAGGAATTTATTCACTATTTTCTATTGGCAGGCAGATGTTCAGCCACTTTGTGGAAAGCAGGGCTTCGGCACACATAGTTAAGACAAACATCATAACCATGAATGTCCCAGCTTCCTCCTCCCTTCCCTGAGCTTTTATTGTTGAGCATAACAACATGATGTATAGAATACCCTTTTGGTCAGTTTGGGTCAGCTTATCCCAGCTGTGTCCCCTCCCAACATCTTGCACAGATGGAGCCAGAGGGTGGGAGGAAGAGTGCCTCGATACTGTGCAACCACTGATCGGCAATATCTGAAACACTGGTTATCATCAACGCTGGTTTAGTCATGAATGCAAAACATAGCACTATACAGGCTGCCACAAAGAGTATTAGCTCCATCCCAACCAGACCCAGTACACATTTTTACATTGCAAAACACAGGATTTGTTTTATGAACAGAAAGGACCTCTTCTCTGTTTTCACAAGCCACTGTAACGTGTACCCTTTGGAGCAAACACTACCATGCTACCCCTGCACGACGTATTTTTACCAAGCAATAGGGACTGAGCCCTTGTCCCAGAAGGGACAAGGGCCATGAGCTGACACCATGCTTGGTTCCCAAGACTTCATCTGTTCAGGCTTTTAAGTCACTCCCATCGCCCTGAAAGCTTCACTCAGCTTCAGAACTATGTCATGAAATAGCTGCACCTATCTTAGAAATAATTTAAGATAGAAGATAAAAGGATCCTCACACAGAGCATAACAGTTTAGAGACATGGGACCTAGCTTGCAGGAACAATCCTTACTGAATCATGAACAACCGTTTCAAGAGTCCAGCTGATTGTTTTCCTGACTGAAAGCAGCTAAACGCTTAACATGTTGGAATTACTCACTTAAAATGAAGACACCCCGTTGCACTGTATGTAAACAACATGCATGCAAGTACCAAGCCAAAGACCGTTTCTATCTTTCCAACATTACCTTCTACTCTAATAGACCAAAAACCAATGTTGCCTTTTTTAAGCCACCATTCCATATTATAATTCAGCTTTTCCTTTCCTCTCACTTTACACAGAACAAAATCAAATCTGGAAAAGAGTTCAAAACCAGCTAACACCAAAACACAAACTCTGATATGTGACCTGGAACTAGAACAACAGGACTAGAGGGCTATATTACTCAGATTACACTACCTCAAACCTGTGGTAACATTTGAGGACTGACACTGTGTTTGAAGGACTACCTTTTTAGCTTCAGAAACACATGACAAAATCTGAAGAGCAAAAAGGAGCATAAACTGGGAATTTTATAAAGATTAACAGAAGCTAAAAACCTAATGGCCAACTCCATTTCAAACACAGTTCGTATTGTGGCAGTTTACGTTGTTTTGATACCCAGCTCCAATGTCAAAGGAGACAGCATTAAATTGTAGGTAGCACCATCTCAGCGAAAAGGGACCTGTCCTGCGATTGGAGTTGCAGCATTCTTACTGAACACGGCAATACAGCAGCAGGTAGACACACTGTACCTGGGAACTACACTTCTGCTGCTGAAAAGGCAGACACCCATCTCTGTAATGAAAACAATTTAAAAGTAAGAAAGTTTTCTCAATATCATGTTTATGCTTTCAGCATATAATTATGGAACAGTAAGCTGAGACTAAAGTGTCCGTGCATGCAGTATAGTGCCTGCTTCAGTGCACTCACATTTTGCTCTCTAGTGCATTACAGGAAAAGTCTCAGTTCCATCAGGTTTTATTGAACATGACCACAGCCCCTTCCTAAGCTTAAGTGGCACCTGATGATACAAACTCAAAAAACAAACCCAACAATCTAATGCATTTGTTTGCACAGGTCTATATTACTTTCACATGTACCTATGAATGTGGCATGTACAAGGACACAGGAAAAACTTGAGCTACTTAATGGGATAGCAGAAGGTTTTGTCAGGAGAAATTTGGTAGGTCAGAGGACTAAAGAAGCTAAATTATTCATGTCATGACACATATACCAAGAAAACCTTAACATCATACCACACACCAGAAAAAAATTGTCTGCATTTTACAGAAACCACAGATCCCCCAGACAAACCATTTTTAGGCAGTTTTTACAGAATTTAAAAAGTACCAATTCAATTCAATTCTCTTATCTCTTGCCCTTAGAGACAGCTGTCTTAGCTACCATTCTATTAAAATATTCAAAATTCAGCATTAATGGAAGATCTGAAACCTACTAAAGAAAGATTTTCAACATACCAAAGTGTCATGACTTTAAGCATCAATTTCTGAAGGAGTCAAAACGACAGTGTGAAAGATGGGTGTTGACAGAACATATGGCCCAACATATCAAGCCACCTGGTAAAAAGCTTATTTCTGGTGGCCCTTTTCCTAATGCTGCTCCTGAGTCCCTCTAAATAAAAATAGACCACTGCATCCCTGTACCCCACCTTCCTCAATCAAATCTTCCGTTCTGGATGTGTGGTATGAATGCGCTGCCCTGCCCAGTCAGTATGCACATGCCTAGTAAATGCCGTATCAACCAATGCACAAATAAATTGGTCTGCTACATGATGGGACTTGGGCAGCAAATAACAGCATTCCTCTAGGACAGAAGAGAATTAGTTTTCCTTGCCAAAAAGGGCAGGCCATGCTAAAGGATATTAGTTCTACGTGTGTGCTCCACCGCCATTTATCACACAACTGGGATCCCTCCATCCACGCTTTATTCATCAGCCCATCTCAGATATAATTCAACACCTCACACCCCTGAGCAGTTTTATTAACAGCCTTTTTTAAGGTTTTCATCCACTGTGGTTCATTGTTCTCTTGCTCACCCTACAACTGTGAGATTTCTCTTCCTCTTGCTCAAGGCTACGTATGGACAAGATTCACAAACCAAGGTCACTGTCCCAGCACAGGAGAAACAACATTTGCCTCCAGCTTAGTTAGTAAGAGTAGAGTTTAGCTACACTTGCAGTACAGATAAAGAGCTCTTATAAAGCATCCTGTACCATTCTATCCAAGATACATCCGTCGAGAATCTGCCAGTACCTATAGCATCCAACTCCCCATTCAGAGCAATACAGTAAGAAATAGCAACCGTATAAATATTTGATTAAAAATTCAATGGTATGTGGAAAACTTCTTGTTAAGAAGAAACAAGTGAGGGCTGAGAAATATTCAGGGGAGACACAAGAAGAAAGAGCTGCACACAAAGGGAGGTAGGAGAAGGAAAACTGATTAGTGAGATGATCAAACCAGAGGGGAATTATGCATAAAGCAGGGGAACAAGGGCAAAACAAGTAGAAGAAAAAGTGGGTATAGTGACTCAAAACAAAAAGAGCAGCTGGAAGGAAAAAGGAATCTTTTCAGAGGAAAAAGAGATCTGAGGCACAGCAAAATTCAATGGCTTGAGGGTTTTTTTTCCCCTCAAATCACACCTGATTTGAGCCAACAGGTCAACTTACTTTTTTGGTCACATTTCTAAGTGTACATGCTATAAAGATGGCTGACCAAGCTGCTGCAACACTGATTGACCTGCTATGGACAGGACGCCCAAGAAAATTAAGTATGAACAAGGTGAAGCCAGAAGGAAATTTTACCCCATCACTGCAGATACAGCACTTAGGCATAAAAATCTTACCTCTTCCCTGATGTGTTCTACTTGCTCCTCCAGGAACTCATTTCTTTCTGTCAGTGATTTATTCTTCTTTAACAGCGACTGGCCAATCCGAGCAGCTAATTCTAAGTCCCGTTCTTTCTGTGAAGCATTAAGAACAGAAAGCTAATTTCAAATTTTTCATTCATCAAAGGATCAGAGGGAGGGTAAAATTGCCACAAAAGGGAAGGAACAAGTAGTTAAACAATAAAAAACCTTTTTCCTTCTGTGAAGGTTGGTTTGCTCAGTTTTTTGCCAGTTTTCTTTTTCTATTCCTGAAAAAATGTTACACCCACATTATTCAGAAAAGACTGACCCATACAGAGTTACTGAACCATACATATGAATGCACAGCTTCAAGGTCTAATGGAAAACAACGTAAATGAAACCAGATCTGGGTCGCTATTACAGCTTTGTTTGAGTAACTACTGAGGGAAACTGCTCTATCACCTTGTTATACCATCTGCAGAATGCAATCACAGAGCTTTAGAGGTTACATTTTAAAGAAGCACAGTAAAAATAGCAAAGGACTTAGGCATTTCAAAGCATTCTTCAGTTTCCACTTGCTCCACTTTGAAATAAAAAGCAGTGAGCTGTGCAGGAGCAGAAGCCAATTCCACCACAATGAATGTTCAGCTCCCATGTCCTTCGTGTATGTACACCCATTAGTGCTTTTGTATAAAAACAAGTCCTATCCCTTTCCTTTTTGCATATGCCCAAATCTACATTAAGCAGTTACTCTCATACCATGCCTGTCCCCTTCTTCCGCCTGTGTGCACAAAATTGGAAATAACTGGTCTAGACAGTTCACCACATGTACCAATAAAAACTAGAAGCTTATCCTGTTGATGACACGTACCTAATACACGTCTCAGCTTCTGCAAAGCTGAGGCATGGGGGTGTAACCCACCTGGGACAGGATGATAAACTGCCTAAAACCTTGCACCATTCATTAAGCATTTCTATTTGTCATTTTCTTATTCAATTACTAGATCTTTATAATAGTGGGAAAATGGTGCTAAGGTTAACTCTCCGCTTACTTATAGTTCAACATCATTTGAGGAATAGTTTTTCTCCCTGTCACTGAAAATACTGTTTGGGGCTTATTTACCACCCTGGACAGCCACCCAGATTTTATGACTAAAAGCCACCTTGTGTCATGTATACATTAATGACAAAGGCTGCAAAACCTACAGCTACTGATCACATGGATTTGAATGAAGAGGCTTTTGTAGTGGGGAAAAAAAGGAAGTTATGTAATAATCAGTAAATAAAAAGAGAGGTTATTGATCACTGCTATATCTACAAATAGCATTTTCCAAATGGTTTCTGAAGGTCAGGCTTATATTTGCATTGAAAGCTACTGGCATTAGCCAGTTATAAAATCTTTCTATAATCTTACACACAATCTTTCAGAACAATAGGTTCCACAAAGTTATCAAAAAAAGTTTGGTTTACATATCGAGCCAACTTATTGTTTAGTAATTTGGCTCACATCATAAACTCAAAGTGGAAAAAAAAAAAATATTGCTGCAGCTTTGACTCTACAGAGGAAGAGGTATGTAGCAGCAAGGTTTCTAACCTCAAAGTTGAGGAACATAAGTGTATTTCCAGGGTCTTTAATTAACCTCCCTAGAATTCCTACACAATTTTTAGCAATTCAGCTCTAAATCTCAGTTTGGGGCCAGGCCTCTTACTTGCAGTGATAAGGGACTGATTTATTACAGCAATACGTAAGAAAATACTGAAGCCAGACACAATTACACTATTATTAGAAAAGGGGTGAGAAAACAGGTTCACAGAGGAATCTGCTCCTATTCTTACCACGTACACCAGGCAGGCCTGGTGTCACTTGCTTCGCTTAGTTTCAGGGCAATAGGCACAGATTTTCAATGTATCTGCATGCATGTTGTTTTGAGATCTTCTCTTTCCTGTCTCCCCTCCAAAATGCTGCACCTTTCACCCTGCCAACTTTGTAACATAGTCATTGGAAGCTTGCCAAAAAGGAGGACGGAGAAGGGGTAGCTTTTGGGATTGTTTTTCGCTTGTGTGTGTGAAGGTAGCAGAAGGAGTTACACCTTAACTGCAAACAGATGTTATTTCTTGTGATAACCATCATTTGGGGAACAAAAAAAGGAGCTGTAAGTGCACGTCTGCCTAGGAATAGAGTGATTCAATCAGAAATGCTGGCCAAATAAAAGAAAGAAGCTGACTGAAAGTATTTGTTTTATCAAAGGTTCACCTATTACATGTTCCCCTATTTTTCCTTTGCCATCATCCCAATAGGGAAGTACACCAGAAGCTTAAAAACATTGGCTCACCAAGTCCTTCTAGCATTGCTCCCATGAGTGTGATTTCTGGATCTATAGACATTTGCCTACAAGGACTCAGGAGGAAACAGTATGGCAGGATGCTGCATCGTTACTAGAAGGAGCCATGGAAAAAAAATGCAAGTAAATCTCAGCCAAACAAGACAGGGTACAGGACACAAACAGGTGACAGACTTGTTATTACAAGTTAATGGATTATTCCAGGACAAGTCTTTTAAGCAAAGAATCAGTTTTAACTGGTATTTCATAAAAAAGTTGTTTAAAAGAGTTCAGCTCAAAGCCCAAAATGTATGACTTTGTACTAAGATCAGATGTTTCAAGCATGAGTAGGAGATGTGAGCATTCCCATGCTTGTTTCCTTGCAGAATTAGAGGAAGAACAGACCGCTCAATGTATCTTGGCTAGACAGACCCCATTTTTGACATTGTTATCACAATAAACAAGCAAATAAATATGAAGCATTAAATTACAATCAGCCATGAACTAATACAATTGTAACAGTTTTCACCTAAATAATTCTTCATAAACATAGTTTGGAATATCGTCGCTCAAGTTTACTGCAGAAAAGCAGCCAATTTCAGTCAAACAATTTATCATGATATTTATTGAACATAAACATCATAGCTTGACAATTGCTTTTTGCCATTTCTTGAATGCCAAGGATTACAGTAACAGCAATTTACATAATAATGGTATTAAAAAAAAACCCAAAACCAAACCCCAAACAACCCCCGAACCAACCAAACATAAGGCAAAGAAGAAAAGGCTTGGAGACAAATGGAGCATTAGATATTCTCTAGTTTTGTGTCTATGTACTTCTCTGGAAAGAGATTATCTGAGATAATAATTATGAATACAAGACTATTAGTGAACTTTTTTTTTATCTTAAAAGATAATAAATCCATCATTAATGATGCCATTAGCTTTACACGTACTGTAAAAATATGTGTCATTTTAAGATCACTCCCCCCCATTCATTATGGCAAATATTTGGCCAAGAGCAAGTTAAATGGCCTTAAATGAAAAATAAGCACAAGTAATGAATCCATACTCTGATGGACATAAACAAACGACCTTTACTTATATTTACCTTACCAATGAGGTTAAGTGTACATACACTCAGAGCATTTATTCCTCCTCATTTGAGGACAGTCTACCAATAGTCTTTAGTAGTGGTACCATATAATTTCTGTAATACTTTCTCATACCGTGTATAGGTCCTTAAAGAGATATAATACTTGCCTCTTCAAGAAGACGTGTAACAGCATCTATGTCATTGTATGTTTTAGTCATCTGGCCCACTCTTTCAGCACATAAAACTGTGAGGAAATAAAATAAAACATGAATCATACTGGCAATACTACTGGGGAAAAATATCCTTTAAAGAGTTTAGGTTTGCTTAGTTTTCATCTTATGTCACCGTTCCAGTAAGTATATCAAAAGCTAAAAAAAATCCCCCAAAAAACAGAAAAAAATAATTCTAAGTTTCAAGGTAAACTGAGAACACAAGTGTTCCTCTTTTGTAATATTTGCTTTTGTCAGTGGCAAAACAAACTGTTAAAATGTTAAAACTTTTTCCTCTGAAGAGCAATCTCTTGAGTTTTAAAAAAAAAAAAAAAAATCAAGGAAGAATTGAAAACAGATGTTCTTAGATATATAATTAGGATTCTATCATGTCACACAGTCATTGTATTACATGCAGTAGAATTACTCCATGAATAAGCAACTCCAATACTGTTAGTAACACTATTCAACATAAAGATACTACATCATATTAAGTTGGTAAGAACTGGGTTCTATGGTATGAGACAGCAAAGTAAACACAAAATGCATGTAAAATAATAAACGATTCTTATAATACCCAGACAACACCATGGTGGCCACAGTATCACTCATAAAAATATTTACTTAGACTGGGTGAGATGATTAATCACTAAGGTGGAACCAGGAGTTTTGTTAGACTGAAGAAAGGATGCAGAAGTTTAGTCTACCACTGCAAGTGATCCTTTAAGAAGCTACACTGACTTATCTAGAAGTGTGCAAGTTTTCTAAAAATCCACCAACAATCAGAGGAAACAACAGCACTTTCTGCTCTACCCTTATTTTCTGTTTATTTTCAGCTACACCTATTCCTCAAACCCTGCAATTCTGAAAAAAGGGATTGTTAACGAAGTTGAGTTGATCATATGGACTATTGGTTATCAGGCTGCTGTAGCACAAATTGTTCTTCAGGGGATTTACCCTTGACAATGTCAGTTAAAGTTCAGTCTGACAGATTGGCTAATGTTGCTCTAACATGCATTAAAGCAAGGGGGAGAGACAGATAAGGCCTAATAAGATTTAAATTTAAAAAAAAAAAAAAAAAAAAGAAAGCAAATAAGTGTATTGACTACACTAATATTACCGGGAGACAGCTTGTCACCCTAAGGAAATAACTCCACCCAGTTTATAAATATACAATACACATATACATAAATATACAGTTGATCACCCCTAAGGCACATCAATAATTATCAAGTGCAACAGTACTTAGGTATCTGTTGAAATGTTGGGAGGTTTATTTTTTCTCCATACTTGAACATCAGAAAGTTGCTTGAGCTACAGCAAGAAGTACTATTTGTTTCTGTTTATTTTCCTGTTTCTCAACTTTTATTTTTGAGGATAAAATCCTGAAAACATTTACAATATTTAGTGACATCAGTAGTGCCAGTGAACTCCAAAGAATGCCACTCAAAAGTATTCAAAAGATAATTACACTTATCCAAATAATTAAGTCTGAAAGTGGTAACGGTAAAAAGTTTACAGTTCAAAGTAGTAATGACAAAAATTACATAGCAATATGAAGAATAACTACACCACTGCACAAGCAAAAATACAGCGCATCTGCAGACTACAAGCTATATTAGTGAAAAGCAGAATATTCACGATTCCACAGAAAAAACTGAAGTTACTTGCAGAGAACATCAGCTATAGGCAACAAAGAGGCTAAATAGAAGATTTCCATAAAAAACTTCACATAAAGACAGATGGTGTCACATCCAGAAGACTATTCACAATAAAAAAAATTAACATCACCATAAACCCAGTACGAACTTACTATGTTTGAAAATAAGTCATGCAATAAAACGTCTATCAGAAACCCCGACGCCATCAGTTTACTTTCCAGAACAATTGCACACTAAATAGTTCCCTTGGTTACAACATTCCCTCGCTACTATAAAATAATATTTGAGATTGTCATTAGCAAGCTTATTTTAACTCTGTATCTAGCACTAAAAATCACCATTGATTATGACTATGGCAACCTCACACCATCCTTAATTCAGGTGAATATATAACCTTCCTAACATCCAAGCTGATAAAAGGACAGTGCTCCCATAGACGGAATAAAGTCACTCAGCTAGGAGAAAAGGGATAAAGGTTGATTATTGTGGCTGCTCACTCAGCTATTCCTTCAGAACTTGCCATTTAATCTTTAATGTGGCTGGGGAACACCACAGCCTTATCACAACAGACTTATTACTAGGAAAGAAGTAGCGACCTAGTCATCAATAGCTGTTTTATCTCACAATTTCCACCAAACTTCAGTTGGTCACTGTTAAAACAGAGGTCTTCATATACTACTCTGCCAATGTGGAAGGGTTTCAAAGCAGAAATGATATCTCATGCATCCTCTTCAACGTCCACGTGGAAACAAACTTCAATAACTGCATATAATAAAATGCCTCCTCCGGTCAAACACCTCCTATCGGCACTCAACATGCAACACAGCAGAAGCACAGAGCTACTAACTAAAACGTTTTCGTTTTGGAAGGAGGGCAAACTTGCAAAGAGGTGTTGCTGTCCATCCCTCAGAAACCAAGGCTTGTGGGGAAAAGAAGGTGAAAAGCGAGGGGAGAGAAAGCAATTCAGAAGCAGCATTTTAAAAACTCAAAACAGCGTCTAAGTGTGCAGCTAGTCAGCCTTCACAGATTACAAGAAAACATTTGGCCAATTGCTAGTGCAGCTATTTTTATTTCCTTGGTGTCCAAAAAAACTACCAAGTAAAAAAGACACACTATCTTGAATAATAATTTTGAGCTCTGATCAGTGAAGTAGGGGAAGGGACAGGACTGTGGATGACACACCAAAAAACCAAAACCCACAAACTCCACAACTCTAATGAATTCTGCATAGCAGGTTTCTAGCCTGCTGGAGTTTCTGATGAACATGAGAGCCTGGTAACACTACCGTAAAGATAAAAACAAGAGCAAATGAAGGACAACACTGTAATATAAAACCTACAGTGCCAATTTACTGACCTCTTTTTGCTCACTTGCAAATCAGTAGTATTTTTGCTTGAGGGTGATAGGAAGTGCAGTGTCTAAATGAATGCATGCATACAAACATCCAAATCAAACTACACTTCGGGCCTCTCCATTTATGGAGAAGGCTGTTAGACAATAAAGAAAGAATTAAAAAAAAAAAAAAAAAAAATTAAAAAAAATGACTACCGCAGGTGGAGGAACCACAGAATTCCAGAAACACAGAGTTAGAAAATGCATTTTGGTAACTGCTTTGAAGTGAATGTCACAGATCTAAAACAGGAAACAAAGAACAGAGAAAGCTTCTATCACATTATTTCCATGCCAGCATTAAATATACGCTACTGGGGACATATTCATGGTTCAAAGTATTTGGTTTTTTTAAAAAGCCAAACACACAAATGGACAAATGCTACACAGATCAAGTATTTCCTCTGCCTTAAAGTACCTAGCACCACCTTCATACCCTCTTAAAGCTTGCAAATTTTTGGGTACCCATATTCCTGTGTTTCCCAATGTGAGTACAGCTGAAAGGATGTACTCTGCATTTATTTCTCATCACCTATTTAACGCAGCATCTGACTGGAAGCTTCTTTCAGGCTCTGAGCTCCACACTGACTAAAGCACTGATTCCCAAGCTGAAGATGTTCAGGGAGAAGGGAGGAAAGTATGTGCCTTTGTCATGGTTTAACTCCGGCCAGCAACTCAGCACCACACAGCCACTCACTCACCCTCCCCCTGCCCCAGTGGGATGGGGGAGAGAATCTGAAGAGCAAAAAAGTAAGAAAACTTGTGGACTGAGATAAGAATGGTTTAATAATAATAATGATGAAAAGGAAAATAACAAGAGAGCGATAGAGAGAGGAACAAAACCCAGGAAAACCAAGTGATGCAACCACTCACTACCCGCTGACCGATGCCCAGCCCATCCCTGAGCACCAGTCGCCACACCCCGGCCAACTCCCCCCAGTTTATATACTGAGCATGACACCATATGGTATGGAATATCCCCCTGGCCAGTTTGGATCAGCTGTCCTGGCTGTGCCCCCTCCCAGCTTCTTGTGCACCTCCTCGCTGGCAGACTACAGGAAGATAAGTCCTTGATTTAATATAAACACTGCTTTGCAACAACTAGAACATGAGTGTGCTATCACATTATTCTTACGCTAAATCCAAAACACAGCACTATACCAGCTATTAGAAAGAAAATTAACTTTATCCCAGCCGAAACCAGGACAACCTTCCTGGACCACTCCCTGAAAGTCACACAGCTATACAGCATGCTGCTTAGAGGACAAGTGTGTTTCCAGGAACAGGAAACAGCCATGGAAGGGAAGCAGAGCAAGAATACCACTATTGTGAATGGCTGAATGGCTGCAATGAGCCACCAGCCACCAAACAGGGGATTCAGGTGGAAGGAAACAAAAAAAAAAAAAAAAAAAAATCATAGGGGCCAGCAGTCGCAGGTGTCCTCAGCCCCTGCTCCGTGCTTTCCTCTTTCAAGGCATAACCCCCTCTTCATTTTTGAGACCTATCAATCAGGGTCAACAAGAAGAGAGCAATCATGGCTGAAGAGGAAAGCTCAGCTCTCACTGCTCCTCTTCCCATCTACTTCCAAGTACTGGGAAACAGCAGATAAGATGTTATGGTAAAGTTTCACTTTTTGGGCAGATAATGTAGAGTCTGACAGGGAAGGCTCCAGTGCATGGGGATTTTCCTACTACCAAAATTTATTTCCTCAGAAACTACATAAGGATAAGGAAATACTGTTCAGGGAGCACCAATCTCTGGCAATTTTAGTACTGATGCTTCTTATTGGCAAGGTGGCAGCAGCGGACAAATTTCTTGCTTTTCTTTGTAACAGTTCCCTACCCAAAGCCTTTAACTATGGCATGGCCTACTATATTCTTGATCAGTCATGAGAAGCCCTGCCTCACAAATAGCTTCTGTATTTCTCCCCTCTGCTCAGGGCTCTATCCAAA